AACATAAATCTATTCACAGCAGATCCGACTTATATAATTATTTCAGACCCACTTTCCCAGTCCACCCCCAGAGTCCATTTATGCTTCTTGCCAGTATAACTAGTGTTGTTAACTGGCTTCCTATTTAAACTCATGTGCTGAGAACAACAGGATGCACTATAAAAACACGCGTTTTGTAGCACATCCATCTAAATGTGTCAGCATATAGGAGGGGGGGGTGTTTTTGCAGGTGCAAGATTTGGAAATGTCAGTTGCATTAGAAAAGCTTCTTCTGACATACAAACTGCAAAGTTTAGGTAGTATCTATTTGAGCAGGATGAATGTTAGTTCTTTCCCTCCATGGATAGTTTGCTGAATAAGAAAAAAAAAGTTTACCTTTGTAAATGATATACATATATATGTATATGTATATATATATATGAAGCAGTTTTCCAAAGCTCACTTGAGTAAGTTGCAAACATATTCATTCACACCAGAAAAGGGCAATCTTGTAAAGTGACTAATTGCTTCTGCTGTGAAGATTGCGTGGCCTGAAGAAAAAATGCAAATGGTGCAATTGGGAGATTTAAGCAGTTTACTACGAAAGGGAGAGGAGTTATAATATACAAACCTTCTCAAGACAGCTTGGGAGCTAAGAGGCTAGAGATGATAGAGATTTTAAATCTTTATGTCAATACATCTCTAAATACGCAGTCTTATGATTGCAGTTAGGCCACATCAGGTGGCTTTGAAAGAGGAACACAGACTTTGGGTGTCAGAAGCAGCTCATTGCCACTACAGACTATGAACTATCCTTGAGTTGCCAAGCTCACAGTCAGACCTTTGCTCTGGGCATTTAATGACTTTTATTTGGAGGTGTCCAGGTATAATGTCTTTCTCTAAACTTTTGCCTATCATTGGAAGTTTTTTTTTCAGACACTGTTATTGTATCTGCTCTTCCTCTGCCCAGCTCCTCTTATCATATATTATCACATATTCTTAACAAATCTAAGCATTTTTTTTCCTGGTCATGTTTAAGCCACTCTTGATTCCCTAGAACGAAAGGGAAGAATAACCCCCCCTGCTATGAAGTGCTGTGAGTGGTGGGAACACGTGGGTGCAGTCTGGGTGCTGAATCTCACCTTGGCTTCAGTGCAGGAAGCCTCTTCGCCTTGAGGATCTCTCACTACCCAAATAAATGATTTGCCCTGATTCCTAAGGATTTTTAAGGAAGGAAAGGGACCTGTGTGATGATCATATCATACTAGCAAAAAACTAATACTTAAAAAGAAAATAATTGCATCAATAAAAGTAATATATTTTAGTATAGATTTTAATTTGTCTTTGAGTGGAACCACCATTTTCCTTAAACTGTGTTTTTTTCTAGGATCAATCTTAATTTGTACAGTCCAGTAAATCTCACGAGTTCAGACACTTAAAAAGCTATTTTTTTGCAAGCATCAACAAAACTATACTATTCCTAATCACTTTGAACAAATGAGATGCCAAATTTGTGCATAATAAAAAGTCTTTTGGAGCAGAGGGCAAACTAGATTCCCCAAAGTATGGCTGGTGATATATCAGAACAGAGAAAGGCTATAACCAGATAAAAGAAGAAAAGGTGTTACTTAGATACATTCTAAAGCTGTTTGTTTTTATTTTACATGTGCTGTTATACATCTATTGATAAATATTATTTCTATATAAGAAAAACTTGAGTATATATTAAACACTTGGTAACTTTCAGCCACTTTAATTTCTTTAAAGTGGTATTTTGTAGTCTCTCCAGTGTCTCTTCGTCTCTGTCTACGCGTGGAAGCCAGTATGAAGCACCGGGAACTTTTCTGCCACACATAAAGTAGGGCTTTTGTTCAGGGCTTGTGCAGAACTAGAATTATGTTGAAGCACATCAATATTTTATAGGGAATTCCCAGCCTGGACATAATCAAACCCGTGCCCGTAAGGAATATCCGTTGCAGTGCTCCAGCAGAGCACTCCACTATAGTTGCTAGCGAATGTAAAGCCAATACCCAGTTCTTTTGTAAACAGACTGGGGCGCTCGGGCAGAGCAAGGGGATCTTAGCGGCACTCCAGAGCCCCCGGCACTGTAGGGATGCTGCATCTTCGGCTTCTGTTTTATCCAGATTTGGGTATTGCCTCTGTAATCAAGTTCCTTGCAACTTGAGGTGAGCAGTAGATCAAGGCAGCACCGTGGGAGGTTTGCCAGATTAATTTGGCCTGCTGCCTGTTGTTCAATCTGGAGTCGTTGAGGCCCTGGTTTCCCTGGGACTGCGCTGCCAAATACTCCATATGGGATGCCCAGAAATATAGCCTAATGTTAGGGAGATTTAGTTCCCCTACGTCTCAATGGGCCTATACATTTTTAACAGCAACCCTTGTTTTTACCTTCCAAATGAACCTTGAAAAGGTCTTGTGAACCTTACTAAAGAATGAGGTTTTAAATTATGTGACATAGTTGTAGTTGACACAGGCTGCAGAGGAAGACATTTATTTGGAGAGGTTACACCCTCCAGGTGAGGAAGGGTGAGTCACTCTGAAAACAGAATTGTGCCATTTAGCGTTGGCCTGTGGACCCCAGAGCTCTACCCTCAGCAACATGGTGGGCTGCTTCGAGCAGCCTATATATACATACATATATATATATATATATAGGCAACCACCAGGAGCTGGATTCCTTTGCAGCAAAAAAGTAGCTTTCATTGATTTTAAAAAAAAGGGTGAAGCAATGGGACCAACAATATGGAGAATATGTGACTTAAGTATCAGAGGTAATCAGACTATTTTTTTACTATGGCATCATTTTTTAACTATGGCAAAAATCATCATAATATAAAAAGACTTCTTTATAACATGAGTAATTATTAGATAAAACAGAGGGAACACTGTGTGCGGTACCAGGTAACTTGGAAGGAGAAAGGATTTACCACGGATAGACTTGTTTGTGGAATTACATGCTGTAGTCTTACTGGGCTTACTATTAGAATTACATATATAGTTGTGTGCTGCGACACGGTGTCCTCCGCCACCCTGCACAATCTGGTGCCTTTTATTAGTCATGGAACAGGTGCAGCGGGGGTTATATGATATTTGCTCTATGTTATAGGTTATTTGATATGTGAAGCTTTTTATGATCTGAAATCAAATAAAATCTGGGCAATCTGTAGGACATACTTATCCAACACAACAAATTTGGATTTCAAGCCAAATTATATTCTTAGGTTGCTCCAAATCAGGCTGTCGGGCACAAATGAGTGGGTTTTATCTGTTTTGTAGCTGAAAGGAACACTGATTTTTAAAAGCTCTGAAATTCAGCAAAACACGATGTAAAATCTGAAACAAGCTTTCCCCAAAGATTTGTTCTTACAAATTTCTGATTTTGTACTTTTTGTTAAGTTAAAATGTCAAGTCCTTTGGTGTGTTTAGGTAACTTTCACGAGTATTGGCTTCATGGACTTTGGTGATAAATGAGAAAATACATAGGATCAGACTTTCTTCCATTCATCTGAAATAATCCGAGCGATCAGTTAACGAAACAAAGAGGTAGCAGTTTCTCCTACATTTTATCATGTCTGAGGAAAAAAGAATAAAAGAATCGCTGCTTTTATTGCAATATCAGTCAAGGTAAGCAAGTAATTACTTCACGATCTATGTATTTTGTTTAGGATTTTGTTGAACAATTTTAATTTATTCAAAAATACGTTTCTATTTTTTTCTCTTTGATACTTAATTCATAAACAGCGAATGATTAAAAGAGAAGGCTATTCCTCAAATATTTCAACTTTTAACATTTATCTTTCTGAGACATCTCCTGAGCTAGGACAGGAGGAGACAGACAGCATTGAAAGCAGCAGCCGGCAGTAGGAAAGCCAGAAAAGGCACGCAATCCCCTATTAGTGCTGTTTATTAGTAATTGGACATTTTCTCAAAAAAACAGAAATAAATAATAATAATAATAATAATAATAATAATAAAGAGAGAAGCCATGCTTGTTCAGTGATAAAAAAGCTTTAAATTATGGAAGTTTCTGTTCAGATTATTTCCGCATAGATTTGGAGTGGTCTGAGGACAATTTTAAGGCTGGATTTTTTATTTTAAAGCTCCCTTTTATTGGCCTGATCCACTGTAATACATCGATTCGGTAGAATAATTAATATTTTCTTTTGGAAAAAATTCTAATTTGCTGGTTGATACTTCAGATAAAATATTGATGATCAACACATGATTTTAAGCTAAAGAGGGCAGAAGACGTTCTCCGGGGTGCTTTACGGCCCCCATCTTAGCACACGGCGACAGCACGAGGGATATTTGCGGTTTTCACCCCAAAACGGGCGGCCCCGCGCGCTGCCTCCCTCACAGGCGGCGGCGGCGCTGCCCGCCCTGCGCATGCGCGGCGCGCGGGCGGAAAAAAAAACCCCCCCGCGTGGGGGACCGGGGGAGCCGCGAGGACAGGGGCGCCCTGAGGCGGCTGCCTGTGGGCCCGGTGTCTCCCTCAAGGCCCCATGGGGCTCGGTGCTGCCTCTGGAAGGCCGCGGAATCGGAATGTCGCTCCTGAACGGAGAAGAGAGAGAACGGGCTAAATCGGCGGTTTAAAAAGAGCGGCGAAGCTACCGCTGCCCTGCAGGTACCGTCAGAAACGTCCCAAAATCTCGATGCGGGAGGAAGGCCGTCGCGCTCTGCCTCTGCGGCGCTTCCGAGGGGAGCCGAGCGCGCTCCAGGCGCGGGGCTGTGCGGGAACGCGGAGGGAGGAGCAGAGAGGAGGCCTGCAGGAGCAAGGGCAGCACCTGGGAGCTGTTTGGGGTAAAAACTCACAGAAATCCATTCTTTGTCTCTGCTCTCCAACATATGCTTCAGTTTTCTCTTTAATAGATTTGATTACTTCATACTGCTTTTCATCTTAATGTGAACTGATAGTGCTGATGACTCTCTTCCACTTGGGTCAAATATATTTGCCTTTTTTTTTTTTCTTTTTTTTTTAAAACTCCTGAGGCACTCAGAAAGCCAACAAACCTGCACTCAAAGATGCACAAATCTTCCAAATTAAAGGTTTTCCTATGGTCTCATCATTTTTTGATGCTGGACTCTAAAACTTAAAGTTTATAAAAATAGGCTTTGGTTTGCTTCAGGTGCCATCTGTATTTACATTATCAAAGTGATTTTGAAAATTAATGATGTCAGGAAATAGTTTAAAACATTGCTTTAAGCAGAGAAGTGCGAAAGGAGAAAATGTAGTGAAGGAAATACTTTCTGCCTTGAGCTCCAGCTTTGTAAAGAGAAGTATGTTGAATTTTTAGCACAGGCCTAATTCTACTTTGCAATTTCCTTCTTTCCAGACCAAGAGAATTACAGCACTTGAGATAAAATGGTGTCAGTTCTATCTTGCAACTTAATTTCTTAAGATGTCTTGCTTCAGAAAGCTTGTCTGTTTTACGTGTGTTTTATTAGGAAGCTTGCCTTTCTCATTCAAGAAGTGCCCTGAATTTTAAAGATTTGCTTTGTGACTCCATCTCAAATCTTTTCTCTTTTAAATAAAATAGACTGTGCTTCTCATTTATCCATAGAGAATATAGGATATACTCTCCTGCTTTCAGTCAAGTTTAATAAGAGATTAATTTCTTTCATCTGTAATAACTCCTATTTTGGGGCCCAAAGCTCTCTCACCAAAACTTGACATAGGAAGAGAATTTTGGGACTCACTAAAACACTGTCATTCTTCTTCACCTTCAGGAAAATTTTGTTTTATAGTGTGTTATAACTGTATATTGGTAAGGAAATAGTAAGTTCTGATGAAATGGGGATTAAAACAAAATGTGATTATTACTTGTGTACTGTCATCAGGTGTCACTTGTGATCAGGTGTGCTCTGCTGTGCTTAATAGATTGAGTGCCTGTGAAATACTTCTGGATGGCAGGCAAAAAGAAGTGCATCCCCTATGTTCACTTATACACACGTATTTTTAAACAGGTGAAAGTATTCTTTTATCCTACTTGGTTTAACACATGTGCAAGTTATTTTTAAATATGAAACAGGTTTTGCATTGTACCACTGTGGCAACAGCTTTACAACTAAATCAACCCTGTTCTCGATAATCAATTGTAAAAGTTCTACCAGATCAAAATAAAATAGTCGGTTTAGTACATATATAAGGAACAATATTAGAGCAGTCTGAAAACTGGAACGTCAACTGAAGGTGGTAATGGGCAAGTGCTGAAAAAACAATGCTGAAGCAGAATTCTTGATTGTTCTCTGCAGTGAAGCTTGGCCTGGATTCTGAAATACCAACTGCTGCTTTTTTGTTTGTTTACTTATTTTGGGTTTTTTGTTTGTTTTTCTTCCAAATCCTCTGTCCATTGTGACTGAATATCTGGCTATTCTCATACATATAAACAACTCCCTCTGCCTCTCACTGTGTTAACTTCTTATGTTCTATTTATGGATGGAAGTGGAAGAAATATAACATTTTTAGTTTTCTTTTGCTTTCTCTGGCTTTGCTTCCTAAAAGCTTTATAAAAATAAGTTAAAATACAATGGTTGCAGCATGGTGTGCCGTGTTTGACCCCATGGGTTTAAAAGGCTTAATAAAAATGTGGCAGGCTGAGCTGGAGGTGGTAGTAATGTTTGGAAAGTCTTCTGCCATGTGGAAGAAAAGGTAAAGCTTCTGCTGGAGCTACATGTGCTATAATCTGCCTTTGCATTTGCTTTGTAGACAGGTTCCAAGAAAAGTACTGGTAGAGAAGTTTACGTGCCAAAATGCAGAGTTCTGGAGTTACTTTTTGCTCTTAGAAGTGGTATGTGACATGTGATCCTTGTTTCTCAAGGAGTTTATAGATCCACACTTCTCAGAGCAAAAAGTATGTGACATGTGATCTCTTGTTTCTCAAGGAGTTTATAGATCCACATATACCCTTTGTAGGTAAAGAATAAATCACTTAAATGAACCTTTACTGCAGTTCAAATGTTAGTGTCAATTGTGTGCAGTGAAACTAGTCCAAAGAAGTATATGACTGCTCACTTGTAATTCAAGGGAGATCATTTGTCGTCGTGGTTGCTGTTATTGGTGAGTGATGGTACAGAAGTGCTGGAAGAATCTATGCAGCTGAGCACCCCAGAGAAGATGTGTTACGGTTCCTAAATTCAGGTCTGAATTTGCGAGGCTGGCCCTTGAAGAAAAATGGAACTGTCTTGTGTTCCTGTAATTCCCGTTTTTACTAGCTTGTAAACAGTGCCAGTTCTAATCAGCTTTCAAAGCAAAACCTCATGCTGACTGATCATGTTGCGACAAAAAGGCTACCCTATTATACTACTTCTGAAGTTTTCTAGAATTGCTTTGGGAAATAAAGCATATGAATTTTACACTTCTGTGACTAAACTGAGTTTGGTGTTGTGTTAGAGTGTGTGGTCAGGTAACACAGTTTTTGCTCCAGTATGAATACTGTGCTGCCCACGAGACTGTTAAAATTTATAGTGAGCTTCCATTATTTACACTTCGAAAGACACCCACTGACTTCTAGGGTATGGTTACTTTGATATCTGTACCTTTTTTTGAAGTAAATTGGAAGCAGTACATTATATGTCTTTTAGTGATTATCTTCTATTATATAGTACTTTTAAGATAAGCAAATCTAAAAAAGAATTGAAAATTAAATACAAATGTCTTGTCACTGTTGTCTTCAGTGCTTGTTTGGTTAAAGTCATAAGAAATAGGTCATGGTATCCAGCTTGGTATTTTTGTTCCTGTATAAGAATACTCAATTTTTAAGCAAGTCCTAGTTTACTTGAAAAATTGCTACCTTAGTTCCTGCATGGATAGTAAAGAAAGCAGAGTGGCACTGACTGGAGAAAAGCAGTCGTGCAGCTTCTAGCATGAAGCTACTGAGTCACGGAGGAGCCAGAGCTTCTGGAAATAGAAAACCTGCGTGGAAGAAATGCAGGGCCTCCAAGAATGGGCTGTGCTTGGCCTGTGGATGCCTCAAAATCTACAGCTTTGAAGTGTATGACTTGATCTTTAATGTTGCTGCGTGTTCTTTTGTTGCTTGCCATTCATATAATGGGATTCTTTATCGCCAGAATGCGAGATGACATATTTCTTTTTTTTTCATGTTTTAAGATAATTTCCTGAAAAAAATACCAGTTGTTCTCAGTTTTTACTTTTTTTTTCCACAACTAATTTTTCTGTGTGAACCATAGATAACGATACTTGCTAGTTTCACTTGATTATCTTTCTTCTCAGGAAAACTTTTTCTTTTTTTGAACGGCATATCGAATAGCACAGTACCTAATAAATAAATAAACACTATCCTTATTTTCGTAGGTCTCTTGTAGTTGTCCATTTTTGGGCACCATGGGCTCCTCAGTGTGCGCAGATGAATGAGGTTATGGCAGCACTAGCAAAGGAGCATTTGCAGGTTACATTTGTGAAGGTAAGTCTTTGTTAACAGACAGTAAATCCTATTTTATAAAAAGGAAAGGAGGATGCTGGAAAACTGTTATTACAAAATGTGTACGAAGTTGTGTTTGCAGTTCCTTTTGGCTTTATGTTTGAAGATTTGGATTTATGTTTGAACATACGCAAGAGATGCATCCAAAAAAATCTTTTGTGTTAAGTTCTAGATTCAACTTTCCAGCTTGATGTCACAGACTTAAAGAATACCTTCATTTTTATGTTGCTATTAAAAATAAATAAATAAAATAAAGGCTGGTCTGCTAAGATGCAGTGAGGGCATCTCATTCATTAGCTACTTCATCTAATAAACAGGCTTTTAAGTTTCCCTGTTCCTCCAGTCGCTCAGTGCTTCAGTACTGTAATTAGCCATATTGTTAAAGCCTGATCTTTACCCAGGGATTTGAGATTAAAATGGCAGCACTGTTCTTTTTCAAGTTTGTTAAAGATTTCATTTGTTCTCATGATGTTACTGGTTAATCAAATAGATCTTGGGATTCATTTCTGTTACTGAAGAGTAGTAATCTTTATGGAATTTAAAGGTAGATAAATTTGAAGTCTATGCACTGCTGTCACTCGTAGATGAAACTGGTAAAAGCACAAATTAGATGCTATATTTGTGTGAGATCATCATCACATTCTAGTAAGAGAACTGTTGTGGAGGGAAAAATGAATGTACTTCATCAACATGCTGTTCATTTTAAAACAACTTCCCCTAGTTAATGAGACACTTCTGTGATTATGAGGGCAGGGAGTAATGGAACAGCCAGCTGTGTGTGTGTTTTTAATTCGATTTCTTACAGCCTTTAGGTTTTGTGATATGTTTTTAATGATTCCTCTCACAGTTGCTTTTTATTTTTTTTCCTGTAACACGGAAGAATGAATCTTTCAATTGTATTAATTTACAAAACCATTTTAAATGGAGCATCTAAAGATTTATGTACAACTTATTGGAAAATTGAGATATTTGATACTTGTTTTAATAGAGTTCCTATAACTTTTAGTAGGCCAAAGAAAGTTTCAAACCTCTCAGTTGCTGCTTTATTATTCAGCAGCAATTTTTAATAGTCATACTCATTTAGAGAAAACAAATTACCTAGAGTCTTAGGAAAATTCTCTTGATATGGTATTTTTTTGCTCCCTGCCAGGAATATCTTTAATTTTGAAAGAACTCGGTGTGTGGTACTTTGTGTTCCAGAATATCCAGCCTTTTAACTGGCAAGAACCTGGTAACTTATCAGGCGGTCACAGATGACTGACCAAGAGCAGTGCAGCACCTCGCAAGCAGGATTCTAGAATAGAAGTAATTAGCGTGGAATGAGCTTCAAAACATTAAGAAATTGTAAGGAACCTTTCTAAATACAGTTTCACATTTCAGTTGTTGCATTTAGTTGTTTCATGTCTTAATTCTAAGATCCTTAATTTGGCTGAAATGAAAATGTTTTTATCAAAAAATGTTTAGAAACAGAATCGGTAAAGATGTACCAGTAACAGCAAGTTATTGAAATATGAATTGGAACCTGTTCTGTATGCATGAACGTTACCAGAATGGAACATCAAGTACCCAGGTAGATAGAAAATTGTACTAGAAAAAAAAATATGTGTAGCATAACTTGTTTAATCATTTGCCACTTGAAAGCAAGTAGGTAATTGGAACTGTGCATAGTAGAAAGTTTCTCAGTTGGTCCTGGTGGAGCATTAATTTATGGGAATAGAGGTGAAGCTTGGACCTTTAGTTTTGAGTTGGTTGCTGGGTTACTTCTGTGTTCAGGGAGTTCATTAAGAGCCTTAATGATCTCAAAAAATATTTATATGCATTATAACCACTTTATTTTGCTGCTAACTGCTGTTACAGAGCTAGCGACTTGAAGAACCTTGTGTTCTGTCACTAAAACAAGCTGCTAGACCTTGCATAGAAAAGCACATATTTGATTAAATTAAAAGATCTATTTTCTTGCTAAACTATTACATTGTAGAATTTCAAGGTAAGCGTTTGAAGGATGAATAAACTCAGAACAAATAATCTAAACAAGCTTTCCACTCAGTAGCCTTTCAGGAGTTAAAAATAAAATTTACTAGGCATCAATAGTTTATTGAAAAAACACTCCTTTTTGCTTCATAATTTGCAGAAGGCTGCAAATGTCAGTCATGATGTACTGCCCCATGAAATTAGTCAATAGAGCAAACAGCAAGAATTGCTGTGGGCAGAAAATAAGCACTGTAATCATGACATAACTGGGGTCAATGATTTATGGATTTCAATATAGTAGTAGCTGCATATGATTGAAAATTTACTAGGTCACTAGTGCACCAAAAATTTTATTCTCAGCCTCCAGGCATCTTTTGAAATGTGCAACAAAATAAAAACCTCTGAACCTGTTTTGACACTGTGTAGGCTCCGTGGATGACACGCCAACCCAGTGAGTCTCATTTAAATGCAAATGTGTCACAAACTTCTGCATCAGAATCCTTTTTAAATGTATAAAATGCCTAGAAGAACATTCTAGGCAGGATTGACATGCATGGTCAAACTTTAAGGAAGATTATGAAAATAAACCCATCTCTTCTTTTTATTTATTTTCTTAAGCTGGAAGCTGAAGCTGTGCCTGAAGTGTCTGAAAAATATGAAATTAATTCTGTCCCAACCTTCTTATTCTTTAAGGTAAGAGAAGATGGATTTAAAAGAAGTGCCTTCCATGTGGGCTCTTAACATGTACTTTTATTAGTGGGACAGCAGAAACTTGTTAAGAACTTGCATAAATATTTCTTCACTATGAATCTGGTTTAAATCTTGAGCATGATGTCTGAAAAAGTAGATAGAAGTTGTTTTTATGCCTAATTCCAGTATTTCAGAACTTCCTTAGTTGTGTTGAGTTTTATAAGGTTTTTGTTAGCTATCCTACCTTTTATTGGGTCAAAAGTCTTTCAGTGACTTTATTTTCTGGTCTAGCTATAGTTCTATAACACAACAAAAGGAAAAAAGCAAATAATCTTTTGATAGAAATGATAATCTTCACGGGTTGTGTTTGCCTGTGATTAAGATATTTTGAATTTTTTAATTAATTGAAACAAATTTCACAGGCACTAACAGGAGCTAACCCTCAGGGTGGTGATAAAGCCTAGAGTCTCTGCTGAAGCTAAAGATTGTCTAAATGATCAATACACTAATCCACTCTGCATCTGAAAATCTATATTTTTATATGGTAACTTTACTTTTTTTTTTAATTAGGTTATAGTTATTGAATTTAATTTGCTAACTTGAACCTGTATTTTGGCTTCCTTAGAATTCTCAGAAAGTTGACAGATTAGACGGAGCCCATGCCCCAGAGCTGACCAAGAAAGTGCAGCGCCATGCATCTAGCACCTCCGTTTCTCCTGCTTCTAATGATGTTGCAAAAGAGGATCTTGCTGTACGTCTAAAGAAACTCATCAATGCTGCCCCTTGCATGTTGTTTATGAAAGGGTCTCCTAAAGAGCCTCGCTGCGGTAAGAATTTTCTGAAATTCTTGGTGCATGTGACAGTCCTTGCTTTGGGCTTGTCAGATTCATTCTGCTTTGGACAGTGCGACAGTGTCTTGCATACCTAGAAATGACACAGAAGTATTTTCATAATTCTCTAAATATATATAAGCAATGATCTTCCCTTATTTAAATTTTGGAGAGAGAGATTGGGTGCCTTCTAAAGAATATGTCTAATACTACTCTTGAACTAGAATGCTTTTCTCATCAGCTAGCTCAATGTGGAGTCATGACATTATGCATCAAATTACATGTTAAAATATTTTCAAGAGAACAATTCAAGGAATAACAAAAATTGAATTACACCCTGGATTGCTGTTGCCATTTGGAGGGGGGAGAGGGGAAGTAAAATACCCTAAGGAGTAAGATTGGAGGACCAGTACCTTTTGTTGCCGCTGCAGAAGAAATGCCTTTTCAGCTTAGCTCCTCTAATAACTGCTCACGGTTTGAAGTGTTCAGCTCCCAGCTGACTTGAAGTATTGATCTGTATTGGGAAATCACATAAACAAATGTTTAAAACGGTGGTGCTATGAAGCTGCCATCCTTCTGCCCATGGAAATGAGGAAATTGCTCTGCAGAACTCGTCCTGTCGGGTTGGTCGGCGGGAGGCAGCGCAGGGTGCCGCTGTGATCTGGGCTGGAGGCTGCCTGGCTGCAGAGAGCTCTCAGCAGGGCTTGGCTGCGGCTCCTCCTGCCCCGGGGCAGGGCTGGGGGCAAGTTTTGGCAATTAACAGCCCAGCGCTTTCCACATGCCTGCTTTGGGCGTAATCCCCGTGTGCCTTTTGGGGACATGTCTCCGGATAACGGCTTGTTTGAAGTGTGTCTTCTGTTGCTGCTCTCTGCTTACCCACCAGTTCTTTTCTACCAATACATTTAGCTGCTAGCTGCTTTGTTGTTGTTTTCGTTTGCACCTATTTCCAAATGCCCATTTTTCCTGCCTTGAAACAAATAAGGATCAAAATGTGATATGGAAAACCTTCTATTCCTCCTCATTTATCTTGAGAGCTTCACTAGAAGTGGGAAGACTGGAAAGATCTGGAGACAGAGCTTTAAGATGGAATTCCACAATTCTAAACCTACTAGTGTGAAAACAATGAAAAACCTGTCCCTGAGTTGGTCTACAGATCAAGTGTTGCAACTCTCAAAGCTCCTTTCTCCACAGAAGCCAATGCACTGAGGTGGCTAAGACAGGATCCCCTTGCTAAGTGAGCATGTATGCTGTGAGGCAAATCCTGCTGACCACATCTCAGGACCAAAAAGGTGAAGGGATTGTAAAGTGTAACAGGAGAATCAGGAAAGAATGAGAAATGGGTATCTCCTTACAGGCAAAGCTGGAGACAGGCATATGGCAGGTATTTACAGAACCAGGACAGAGAGATTTGCTGCTTGTTAGGGAAAACTTTGTTTATGAAAGTCCAAGTCGTTTCTTTTTCTGGTCTCTGTGCCTAAATTATGTTAAAATACACTCCCTTGAAAGATTCCTATGTAGGGCCATAAATATTTTTGGTCCTGTAAAGATACATATGAACTAAATGTGCTTAAAATGTTTCACTGAGAGTGAAATGAGGATTGCCAGCACTCTTGTGTTTGGCAAGGGCTCCGAGCGGGCAGCCCAGAGGCAGAGTGGTGCCACGGATCTATGGCAGAAGCCTGCACGGGTGGTGATTGAAATATTGGTGTGGTGTGACGCTCGCTTGATTGCCAGGTGTCCTTGTGCTGAGCTTGCACACTTGTAGCAGTAGTGCTTTAAATTCAGTCAGCAAGTTCCAAGTTTGGACACGTCTGTCTTGGCCGCTTTTTGCGTACTGATATGTATTGAGGAGCTCTCAAAAGAAACAAAATTAAGAATAAGTGTAATAATGAGGAAATTGTATAGAAGGACCTAATAGAAACTGTTTTTTTTTTTAACCCTGAAAGATGCAGATTGTGGTATTACCATGTGCTATTAAAATGAGGGAAGGGAAGGATAATAATGGGGAATAGCATCTATTGTGTAAAGCACTTGTGGAATACGATGGAGTGAGAATAATGCAGCTTTGTGATATGTGCTTTAGCAACTAGCCACTGCTGTGTAACAGTGCACCTGCACAGGCACTGCATTGTAGGAGAGCTGTTTATGTTGCAGGAGCCCTAGCTGGAGATCCTGGAGTTTAGGAGGTGGCACACGGAGTAAATAAGAATCCCCGCATCAGCTCCGGTGGCTTTGGATCTATCCCAGCTCTTGACAAATGAGGGAGCTGACAAGAGTGGTGACAGCAGGGAAGCTGCCACTTGGCCCTGGTGGCGTTGAATTACAAAGCAAAGCCTTGAACTGCAGCTTCTCTTGGGCAGGAAGGGAAGAAGGTCCCTGTCTGTCAAGCAGTGTTAATTGGAGGGAGTTTAGTGTAGCTCAGGGTGCCCTATTTTTAGAAGGATGGTTTGTGTGTGAAACTCGTGAAACAAGGTTTGAAAGAGAAGCAGTGGCTAAAACATGTCAGCAAAGTGCCCAACCCTGCGCTGGGGAGGATAACCCTGCCCTGGCAGGACGAGGGGAGTTTTGCAGCACAACCCGCTCCGGTGCAGGCTGACAAATACTTAGTTTATGGCTTGTGTGCAGCTACTTTTTTGACTCAGGTCCCAGCAGCTAAACATTCTCCCAGCTTCTTTTGCTTTTCTACTTGCATGCTGTTTTATAATTTACTTCCTCTGTTGTTGGCTATGAAAAGATTACAAAAGTGTGAGGGAAAACATGTTGTCCTGTGGCACTGAGTCTCCTCATTCTCTGTTGATAATTTGCACACCTTATTTTTTTCCCCTTATTTTTCCCGTCCTATATTCAAGGCTGCTATTTCATTTCAGTGCATTAGTGAGTTCTCATTTTCTTTTTAGTCGAGGTATTTTCAGAAGCAACCCCAGATTTCAGAGCTGCTCCACGTTCATTGTGTGTTTGTGGGTTAGTTTGGGATTCTAACAGTTTTACCCACCCAGTGGCACGTAACTAAAAATGAGTTAGCAAACTAACTAAGAGAGTTGAGAGGCAACTTGGGGAACTGAACTAGTTGCAGCTGTTTCTTTTAACTTTTAACTTCCCTTCTGCTATATCCTTCCCCTAGTCCCTTCATCAAAATAGCTCTTCCTGTCTTAAGTACAGGAAAAAAAAAAAAAAAAACTATTGTATGCATTTAAAAACTGAAACCCTACACTTAAAGCTCTCCAATTTTTGACTCCCCTAATATTGAAGGAGTTTGAGACTAGGAGGTAAAGTTTTGTCAAAGAACTTTCTTTAAGCGCCTTTGGACATGAGTGCATTAATATAGTTATGGAATTTCTTCAGGTAAAGAGCTGATGAATTTCTTTTTTTGTAGGAGCGTAATTAACAGCATAATTACAGGTACACTGGAGATACCTGTGGTCACAGGAATTCAGCTGTGATGGGGATGGGAGTCCTGGCTCCTTCTGGGTGCGGGCTGCGCCGTGTCATGCAGCAGAGCGCAGCTCCCGTGCCCGGCGGCGGCTCCTGGTGCTCGTGGGCCCATTTGGGGTGGCTGCAGCCGCGTGCTCCGCTCTGCGTGGGCACGGTGACCCGTGGGGTGGGAGGGTGGCCCGTGCTGCGGGCTGGCTGCTGCAGAGCTCTGCGTGGGCAGGGTGACCCGTGGGCTGGGAGGGTGGCCCGTGCTGCGGGCTGGCTGCTGCAGAGCTCTGCGTGGGCAGGGTGACCCGTGGGCTGGGAGGGTGGCCCGTGCTGTGGGCTGGCTGCTGCAGAGCTCTGCACAGGCAGATGTGCTTCTTCCTGAGCCCGTCTGCTGAGCGTGTCAAGTGGATTGAGCAGAACTCCAGGCAGATTCCAATGTTCTCCAAAGAAAACCCTGGCAGTTTTTTATGCATTTGATTTTTGATGGGAAGGAATTGAGGCTCTAAGGAAAGGAAAAAAAGGTAGGATGGAAAAAAAGAGGCTAAGGCTTCAAAGTTAAGGATACTTCCTTAAAACTCAGTGTGGAAAGTGCATCAAGAGCATAACAGGTTCATTTACATATTTTTTTAATATGATAAAATAGATATTTCTTCAAGCTTACAGTTTTCTTATTTGCTCCCTAGTACTCCATGCAAAGTGTGCAGGATAGGCCTACACAGTAAAGTATGAAAACGTAATGCCATGCATTACATGGCAGGTGAACTTACAGCCCTATCTTTTGCAGTTAAATACTGTGCCCGCCTGGACTGCAGGCACAGTCTAAAACTCTCAAAATCCTTGAGAGATTTTGGCAGTAGTTTGAAGACATTAATAAGCCAGGTCTCAGAATAGGTGCACTGTTTTTCCAGTTATCCTTGACAAAATGTTTAATGTTAATATGGATTTGTTATGGTAGTAGGAGTATTAAAAATGTAATTAAGTAAAAGGAAGCCAGCCTCCCAAAGGTGAACATCTTGGTGAATTGTCTGTTATTCTTGCCTATTTTGATGCAACTAATAGACTCGAGGTGGTGTCTTGAAGGCAGCTGGCGAGTGGTGTGGAGCCCTCTCCAGCAGTGTCCCATGAGCTGGTTTTGCAACCTGCAATTCCTTCACTGGAAAGCTGCTTCACTGCAGCGGGAGGGTTGTCCCCTCGGCTGTGGCTGCTGGCCATTGTGTCAGCTTGCTGGCCACGCTGTGTTATTTCAGCTCATTTTTTCCGACTCTAACAGTATTTGTTTATTCGCTTAATTGACACAATAATATACAGTCTAGCTGTTGTCAGAGTAGAATCCAGAGTGGTGCTTGTGGTTGTTTAGATAACCACTTAAAACGCTTTGTTCATGGTTTAATGATCTTCGTAATACATGTATGGTGTTTCTTCAGAAACTCAACCTAAATCTTTTGTTATGAGAGTAAAGCTGCTCTGGCGCTTTATCCCAGACTGCTACCATATCCCTTCAAAATGAAACCCCACCAATCAATCTTTCTAGTTTGCATGTAATTGCCTACAGCTAAAATAAAGCTTTATTTTTTCCCCCCAGTCTCTTACAGTAGAAATGAGTTAATATATTGGCAATGGAATAACCATCAGCAATCAGCCCTTAGCTGTTTACTAATGAACTCCCAGATGTATGAAA